GTTCTTTTAATGGACCTGGCAATGTCCATGAGGACATCCTGTAGAGATAGGAAAGGGCCTTCCCAAACTATTGCAAAACCAAATTGGCGACGTGCTGTTGTCTAAAGTATTGTTTGTGCTGTAGCAGACAGATGTTTCTTATTTTCAGCTAAATGGCCCTAATCATAAAAAACAGCCCCAAACCAAAAGTACACATCTGTGGACAGAGTTGTCTGCTTACTTTCGGCCACATGTGGTATATCGTTCACATTTCATTTATCACGTAATTCAAAACTTAATTCACACGAGGAAAGAGCTAACCCAAAACCTGTTACGAGTTGTATCATTTCCAAACTTGTTTATGCATTGTGGAGTCCTGAATTTGTTGTCAATTCATACCACTTGAGAATGTTTTACAAAGTTCTCTGTCCTCCAACAACAATTGTTATTTCCAAACATGGCAAACATTCTGTGGCTTAAGTTTCCTAAATGTGGCTGTTTTTCTCACATTTATTTCATTGTAAATATTTAATTTGCCATGATGACACAGACTTAACATGTTTTTGGAAACAGAAAGCTATATTTTTGCAGCCAAACTTTCAATCAATATTTAAATTCTTGGCTAAAAGGTAAAAAATATAACAATTATTCACTGGCACGGCTTAGAAAATACTGGTAAGAAACATATTGAGATATTTTAGTGCTGGATTTCCAGTTTTAAAAAATGCTCTTTTATGTACTGTGATGTTATAGTCCTGCATGTGTCCGTGCTTCTCAGGTGGATTCTGGCTTGGTGTGGACCAGGAAGGAATGACGGGGTCCCTCTCCTGGTCAGGCGTCTTTTTTGGGGTGCTGGCCAGTGCTTTTGTCTCCATGAACGCCATCTACACCAAGAAGGTGATGCCAGCAGTGGACGGTAACATCTGGAAACTGTCCTACTACAACAACATTAATGCCTGCATCCTCTTCCTCCCATTCATTCTCATGTTCGGAGAGTTGGGCCATCTCTCCAGCTTCAGCCGCCTCACTGACCTCGGGTTCTGGGGCATGATGACACTCGGAGGAGTGTTTGGTTTCGCCATTGGCTACGTCACAGGCCTCCAGATCAAGTATACCAGTCCACTTACGCACAATGTCTCAGGTACGGCAAAGGCCTGTGCACAGACTGTTATTGCGGTGGTGTACAACTCCTCCAGTAAAAGCATGCTGTGGTGGACCAGTAACATGATGGTTCTTTGTGGCTCATCAGCCTACACTTGGGTCAAAAGTCTAGAAATGAAGAAGATTCCATACAGAGACGCTCAGGACTCCGCCAAGGAAAAACTGCTGCCAGGGGAGAAAGGCAACATGGGAGTTTAGCCATTGTAATTAAGCTGGTAAACCCTCTGTTTTATCCATGTCGCGTGAGAATGTGAAATAATGTAACATATGATTGTTAGTGATTTAAGTGAGACGTACGTGGAATCAGTGATTTTGATTGGGTTTAATAATGTTGTGGTTTTTTACAGTTTGACTTAAGGCTTGAAGGAATTTCTATATATATTTTATTTCATGTTGATTTGAGGCCTTTTTACAATTATTTTTTAAAATGAAATGACTGAGAAATTTAATAATGTGTCTTTTATGGTCTAGTGTACAAGTGAAGGAAAAAAAACCTGTTTTTATTCACAAGGAGGGTATATTTACTGAGATTGAGGGTATTGGCGTCATAGCAAACTAGAAACTTTTTTACAGCTACACGCCATTTCTATGAATGTATGTCAGTATCTTGTTCATTTTTTTTATGATCGCCTCTGGCTAGGAACATGTCTGCTTTCTCAAATATGAACAAAGCCAAGACAGCCGGATCTGTAATATCCTGTAGTTTATAGAGGATACAACAGACAAGGTAATCAGAAACCTCGTGTCAGTGGGACTGACACACAATAGGCTTTTATCTCCAAAGAAAACACTCCTTCAGTATACTGTTGCATTCACAAACTTGTGCACTATTGCTACAGTACACCATGTTTCTGAGCTGAGTCAAATTTTAAATTGTGAACATAGGCAATGGCATAAGGTCTATGACAATATATTTGCATTTCAAGACAAAAGTGGGACAGACTGAAAGAGAGCCCTGTTTCAATTACTTATATATCTCTCATGTTTCATGTGTTGTTCTTACGTGTATATCTTTACATGACAGAATAATGCACAATTGCACCACAACTGCGAAGTCTTTTTTTTACACTTATACTTAACTTATGGTATAACATCTCTGGGACCTCTTTACCAGACTGAAAATGTTTTAAGTGAACCATTGTCTGTATTCAAAACCAGCTTTTTAAAATGTCTTTAAACCATTGTAACACATCAACTGAACAAAAACAGGGCGCTTATTTAAAAGAACATTAAAGATGGTGTACAATTCAACTGTTTTCAGGTTTTCCTGTTATAAAGGAAGATTTTGCTTTCGCTGGTTATTTATATTTGTGAGTTTGATATTTTGGTTGATTATTCTTGTCAAATAAAAATATATACAGTTTATAGACATATTTTGTGTCAATCTACATTCTCTAAATACACTTTAAATTTAGAGACTGTGCTATATCTTAAAATTTCATGATGATTCAGAACCAAAACAAATAGTCTGAGCTTTGGCACGATTATCTTATACGTATGAAGAAAATATTTAAGCCATTAAACCAGCTTCTGTCTTTGCTCATCCCTGATGTGTGTGAGAAGTTAATGAAGCTGGTGGCCTTGTGTTTTTTTGCCACATTGAGGCGAGACATTCACACACTGCCGTCTATGTGGGCCTTAAAAGGTATGTTGAGGTATCTACTGGAGGCCTAAAATCATCAAATCTCGACACAGACCACTATATCACATAAATGCAGAGCTGTCTGATGAGGTGAATATTGTAATTGTAATATGAAGTTCATGTTTGATATGAAGACAGAAGAACATAAAAGTGACTCTAAAGTGAGAACATTGTTATTGTATTAATAAAGGTGAATATCCTTGGACCTGCTGAAATAAATACATAATGTATCAACAAAATTAATAGTTTTGTTGGCAAATTTGTTCTCATATAAGTTACTGTATGGAAATGATGAAACATTTTAGGTTACCAGTAGCACCAGGAGCAAACAACTACATTGTTGAAGATGGCTATGGCTATCTAACAGGGAACTTCCTTCCATTTACCATTAGAAAATATCAATATATTTTAAAACAGCGGTGTTAGATCCCTGTAGGACAATTCATTCTCTGCATTTAACCCAACCTAAGTATTAGGAGCAGTGGGCAGCCACTGTGCAGTGCTCAGGGACCAACTCTAGTTCTAAGCCAGTACTTTGGTCAAGGGCACAGACAGGAGAATTAACCTAACACACTGGGAAACCATTGTAGTCTCTTGGATTTGCAGTAATCCAGATGCCTGCTGGCAAAGACACTCACAGATAAGTGCATGTTATAACTGCTGCAGAACTTAATATCTATCTATCTTCATAATACTTGCCACTTCTATGACCTCATTTAAGCTGATAAGATGTGTTTCAGTGGGATGTCTCCTCTGTGTGTCACTATTGCCAATGTGCTTGGTTGTTTTCAGCATGGTTGGAGGTGAGGAAGGTCAGTGGATGTTGGAGCTCGCCTGGATGAGAGTCTCCGGGCTCCAAATGGAATATTTCTCAGAGCAACAGGGGGGCTAAAAATAGCTGACAGAGCACCATGGGTAATTACACGAACCAAAAAACACTGGTCTCTGATGTCAAGAACTCATTTCAACAGCGAAGTTGGCCTTGTGACACCAATGAAAGTTTTATAACTGTGTCATCATGTGAAATACATAATCCCCCATCCCTCATCTTTCTCTCTCATGTCTGGTTGGGTCAGGTTTAACATGACAAGAGGAGGCAAAATCTTCAACAATGATTGACAGTTCAAAGGCTGCAAGAATCATAAGTAGTCCCTCATGTTTCTTTATATGTGTCAGCTCAAAGTGGTGGTCAAAATGTGGTTGCCACTTTGTTGATCTTAGAGTTAATTACTGCTGGGATGTTTTCAGTTAAAATCATGACTATAGTTAATGTGTGTAGACACACATTCTTCCCATGCAACGAGAGTTGCATACTTTATATTAGTTATATAATTTCATGTAGTTTAATGTCCTCAGCCTCATAATTAAGCATCTTAAACCAGCATTAATTGCTTTTTCATGTATGTATTATATATGTGTTTTTAGTGTCATTCAAAATACAATTATAGTTTGTCAGCCATGCCTGCTGTATATTCAGGGTAAAAAATAATAATTGATGTTGACTTGTGGGCTTGAAAGTGGGACATTATAATTATTTCAAAATGTATACCGGTTGAAATAATAATATCTACTGTAAGTCTGCTGCTTTGTATAAATGCCATTGGCACTAATTACAGCTTTCTTTATTTGACACATTTGTAATTTTCACATATTTATTCCCCATTCCTCCAGCATATTTGCTCACACTCAGTCAAGCTGGACAGATTTTCACACCGGCTGCCCAGCACCAAATGACATACAGATAAAAACAGGCTTGTGAAGAAAAGTCAAATACCTAGCAAGCTCAGATCAGGTACATATACTTGATATATTTTCACTGGTGGATACCAAACCAAGAGAGTTAATATTGAACTTTTTGTTGTTTCATATCTGCTGGCCATTATTTGTTAATGTGTAAGGCGATATTATGTCAAGGATGTATCACAATCAACTTATTATGGAAATGTTCTGCCCTTTGGTGGTTAAAAATCTATAAATGCAGCTTTAAAAGAAAAGTTTAGAAGGTCAGACTTTGGTTATTGTTCAAGCACTGGGGCGTATCGTCACTTTCCTGAAGCCATGTATCTCCAAAGCACCAACTTTTAATGGGCTAAAGCAGCCCTACAATACATTTTGTAGGTAATGCAGTCGGTAAATGGTTTAGCTGAAGAAGTAGGAAAAATGTATTGGATCATAAAGGAACAATTAATCCTTCATGTTTTGAAATTTCTGAAATATTCAAAATCACCTAATTTGATTAGTGAGATTGATGATTTTCATCAGGACATTGATGATATATAGGATAGGAAGATATGTACAATTTACGTAATGTAGATCACTTAATATATGTGTATACCAACATTCTCAAAACCAAGAAAGAAGAGTAATTGGCAAGCCAAAAATCCCAGAGTCCCTCAATCCTCTCTGCTAAATGTACATTTTGCAATCTCATCCTTAGTAATATCATATGATGAAAATATCACATATCACACAAACTAACAGACAAAAGTCTGTATAAACAGCAAACAGCAAAGGTTGAAGTTACGTAGTATTGTAAGTCTCAATCTGTCTGCTTACAACCTGCTGTAATGGAGAAGATGAGAACAGGTATCAAAACATGGAAACTCCAGAGTAAAAGCTTAGGTAATGGAAAAGCAACCTTGGTCATGAAATGGGCTGTGACGATCCTGTCAGCCTCATTCCTGCAGGCAGATCTATGGCGACTGACATCATAAACATGTCGGGGGGAGGACATCTGTTATCTGTCTTCCAAGAAGTTTTGAAATTGTCTGGCAAGATAGCTGGTGTATGATGAAGCATCAGTAAACACATTTGGCTTGATGCACCTGCAGATATGTGTTTTTTTTTACATGGCTTTTGAAGTGTTTGGAAAAAAGAATGATTTTGAATATCTAACTTGCAGTTTTGGTGAAATTTACCTCTATTCTTTCCTTGAAACCTCTCTCAGATGGAATGTTTTTCTCTGGACTTTCTTCACTGTTTTCCTCATTAGCATGTCTTTATTCCCTCAAATGCACTTTCCACTCCCTTTGCCAGTAATTTTCCCCCTGTTACTATTCAGCGTGCAGCACTCATTCTGGACTCAAGACTCAGCTCGACACGAGAGCAGGGGAGCAGGAACTAGTTGCAGACCTAACACTGATTTGAGCTGGATAATTTCAAAGCAAATGCAAGCTTTCACAAAGGAAAACATCATGGAAGGAAGGGGTTAAGGACCTCTGTCCATTATGCTGAGATGGGAGAATTCATCATCCATCGTTACGTCATATTTTTGAGCAGACAGGAAGATCTGTAGATAACTCCGAGCTAGTGCTACTTTCTTGGAACTTCTTTGAAAGTTTATTGCTGTGAACTTGGCAGCCAACATGCTCACTTTCCTCACAAGGAAAGTGCCCATGCCCACTTCTCTGGACCCCATATTCTACTACCTCCTCTTAAATCTTTGGTTTTGTGTAACGGCTTGGCCTCACGGTAAGTAAAAAGCATTTTTTGCTGTTTTGATTGACGGTTGTCAGAATATTGGAGAGTCTTTATATCCTGTGGCCAATCCTTTGTGAAAATGTTGCTAACTTTTAACAAGAACTAAGCCTGTTGGCTTACTGCTGACTAACTGTGGAGCTATTCATGACGATGAGTCACTTCTGCTGCTAAAACTTGTCCCAATGCATGCTTCAGACTGTATGTGTCTCACTGAAATTAAATTACTCATAACTTCTGCTGGTATAGAGCCATTTCCCTTCCCAATTAGTGGAGATGTTGGACATATCAGTGAGATTTCAATATCTGGGAGGCTTTTACATTTCATTTAGCACATAAATCCATAACTATTGATGGGTAGAATTATGTGATGATGACAATTGGCACAATTGAGTCCATTTTCACTGCTCCATATTATTTTGATTGTGTTTGAAAGAAAACAAAAAAAACAAAAGCTGCCATCTTCAGTTGGATTTTGGGACATATTTGTACCTGTCTGATGCATCATTGTGGATAAAAGCTCACAAGGTATAGTATGGCAGCTTAAGGTCTCAGATATGGTTCACAAAGAGTATACAGACCAGCTTGGCTTGATAGCATCATCTGCCACAAAATCACCTGCCAAGACAGACTTCACACCTCAGCAGTTCGTCCGGTCATCATGAAAGGTTGAGCGTGTGTTGTACAAGAAAAGTCGGATCTGTATCATCACATAACAGGAAAATATGCTAAAGGGCCAGATTTGTACATTTGTACATTTGTACATTTCTATATCCACATGTGGAAATGGAAATGTGCTATAGGGATGCATCAGTTGTCATTTTCTTATTGATAGAAATCCATGTGTTGTAAGTAAGTAAGTCAAAGGTTTCAGTAGGTGCATATTAAGTTTGATGCCACTGTCTTTTGTTTTTTTTCCACACCTCTGACAGGGGACAACTGCCCAAGCTCTAAGTGGAGCGTCATGTGTCGTCCATGTTGTGAGTACCAGCTGATCCAGTGTCGGTGTCCCTCAGAAGGGTCGAGGGTAGGCTACACTGTTCCCTGCTGCCGCAATGCTCTGGATCAGTGTGACCCCTGTATCTTTCATCCAGGTACATTCTCATTGTTGCTTAGAGACATTATGTTATCCGTAATCTGCCTGGTGCTTATTTTGTCTCCTGTTCTGTTATTGCTGCTCACACTACCCACCCAGTTCTTCTTCTGTGTATTCCAAAGAAGAATCTGCTGCTGTCAGAGACACAAAATACTTAATTTCCGGTCGATTTATCTTTTTTTTAATCAATTTTACTGCATATATTCTTTGCATATATATATGTTTTCTTTTTGCTTTTACAAGTACACTATAGGGAACTACAATAAAAAAATTATTAGATAGGGTATTCATAATATGTAATCATATGATATTAATATTCAGTATTAAGCTGAACTTATTTCTGCTTTTGTCCTTGTCAGGCTGCAGTCTGTTTGAGAACTGTAAAACCTGCCACAATGGAACATGGAAAGCCAATGATGACTTCTTTGTCAATGGAAAGTATTGTAGAAAGTGTCGCCAAGGCTGGAGTGGAGGGGACTGTAAAAGTGAGTTTGACCTTGAGCCCCCCTTTTGTTTTGTTTTTTGTCAGTGACATTTTCTTCTTCTTACATTCGCCAGTATAGTGTTACCTGGCTAGTCACCATATTATATGATTAGTCTGATAAGGTTCTAGTAAATTCCACTACCACAACCACTTCTGACTGAGTAATTCCATAATGATTGACAGAGCTCTTGAAAACTTTATTTCATGTAGTGGTACTGTTTATATTTATTTGCAGCATTTGTAAACATTGCTATTTTTTTTTTTTTAGAAATTATAAGCTCATTATAAGTTAAGGAAATGTTAATTTAATTTGTGGAACAAAGAATTTAGGGTGTAATCATGATCAAGACTGTGTTCCAAGTTTGTAATACACCATAAGGACACTTGGTGGCGACAACGCTTTTTGTTTAGGTTTCTGCCAAGTCAACTGCTAATAATGTAGTTTTAGTTTCTGTAAATATTGAAATATTGGTGAGATATATGATCCTATTTTTTTTCTTTTAAAATCATTATTGTCAGCATTGTACTACAGCAGTAACCACACCCATATCATTTAAATCAAATGTGTACTGGTAAAGCAACACTGTACTAATAATAGAGGAAAGAAAAGAACTTTACCTGCTTGCCACTCCTGTTCACTCTCATTGTATTTTTCCATTCTTTATTTTTCATGGCCCGGGGGAAATTGCCACTTGGATGCCATTCTGTCATGTGCTGTCAGTTTGATATGCACAAGGGAAGGCATTGAGCCATTATGCAACTTCTGTTGTCCTACACAACCTGTTCAGTCTGTATAGGTGCACATGGCCAAATTAAATAGGCTGCATGGTTTTATAATGCTTTGCTAGGCAGTGCATACAAAAGGGTTTTGTGAATTTTAAAATATGCTAAAATCCTAAAACCTTTAACAATTAAATAGAAAAACCCAAACCCTAATTTCAGCCCTTATCCAGGTCCCCTTTAGTAGCAAGAAGTGACAGAAATCAATTTGTAGAATTTATAATATCTCCTTTTGCTTTTTTAGTCATCTGAAGAAAACACATGCCAGCATGAATACCAGCATGATGTTTATAATCATGGTTATTGAAGTGGCTTATTGGATCACATGATCCTCCTATTTCTTTTTTTTAAATTATCTGCCCTCTTACACAGCATGCCACATTACTGGTCCTGCTTAGAACAGTAATAAATGTTCAGTGCAAACATGAAAACACACATTTAATGAGAATGTGAATTTAATAAGTAAAAGTAATCACAGTTCTCTTGTGGGTAGCATGTGGTGGTGTCATTCAGCGGTCTCAGGGTCACATTGCCCTGGAGAGCTACCCAACAAATGCCCGATGTGAATGGACAGTTCAAGTGGAGAGGGACAGCAAGATCGAGCTGAGGTGGGTAACTTATTTCAAAGCTTTCATATGCATGGAACAAACATGGAAAGTAGCCAATATCTGAAACAAACAAAAAAAAGGTCAGTTTTTATTTGTAAAGGTACAAGTGATCATTTTATTAAAGTGACTTCAGGTAATAAATTGTGAGAAAAGCAATCTTTTATTGCCAATGTTATGATTAATAAAATGGTTGAGAGTAAGGATTTATTAAGTCAAGGCAAGGTCTACCAGAGTGATAAATTTAACTATATCAGTGTGACGATTATAAGAGAATCTGTGACAGCTTTAATTCAGTGCAGTTAACTCAGAAATCTGCTTTTTGAAACAAGCCAAGCTAAAAGATCTGTTTCGTTCTGTGTGCTGGATACTACTTTTCCTCAATTTGCAATTCACCAAATAGAAGACCAACTCTGTCACTGTCAGCTGATGTTGAAGCCAACAGTTGAGAAAGGTTTGTACTCTTACACTCAGTCAAAAATGTGTATCACCAGAAGTTCTATCTCATAGAAAAAATGTCTACACAGTGATAAAAAAGTGGAAGAGACAGATGCAAAAAGAGTGAAATTATTCTATGTCCAATATGTGAAGAAATGTGATGAAGAAGTGAACGTTAAAGTTATAGGACCATCGCGACTGGCAAACCTCTGCTGACGTTGAGGTGAAAGCAGAGTGGATAGCCCTGTATGACCACCTAGAAGATTAGGATTTCGAATTGGATTGAAAAATCAGTTAAACATAACTTCTCTTTGGATATGCTGCAGGTTTTCACAGCTCAGTCTGGAGTCTGACCATAACTGTGGTTATGACTATGTTGAGGTGCGTGATGGCCACAGTCTGAGCTCCCCTGTGTTTGGCCGGTTTTGTGGGGACCAGCTGCCTCCTCCAATAAAAACCTCTGGGAATGTCTTGCACATCCTGTTCACCTCAGATGGCTACAACAACTTTGATGGCTTTGTTCTCACTTTTCAGGAGAGTTCAGGCAGGTACAACCATTGTTATTAATGTGAATGCTGCTTTGCTTCAGCCCATAGCAGTATTGTTGGACTCAATTGCAAAATAATGCATTGTGGTTCACACGCTCAGCTGATGCATTGTGTGAGGTGGAATCAAAAAAAAGACTAATCATGTATCACTTTGATATACATTCACAATATGCTGTATGTATTTAGTTCAGATAAATATATCACGAATACATAAAAGATACTCTGTGCTGCTCTGCTGCATGCTTCACCTCTCTTTGTTTGCATGCACTCTATTTGTTCCTAACCTTTTTCTTTTATTCTGCTGTAGTTGTGCAGTCTCCTATGCAGGGCAGTAATGCGAGACGGACAGTCAGCGACACAGATTTGTCATACTCATCCCTCTCCATTTGCCCTCTTTGAAGCAAGTTATGCATCTAACTTGCATCTCATTTAGCCAGTCTTTTCTCTCCTGGAAATTAAATCTCGCTGGCTCCTGAACATATAGTGGTACATCGTCTTCATCATCATCATTATTAGTAGTAATTTCTACTAGTATAGTTTTTGCTATTGTTGTTGCTGTGTATCTCTGTATCTGTCTTTCTCTCTTTACTAAAAACCTAAAACTTGTGGGTTCCCTCAGAGCACTGTCCTAGGGTCATTTTTATGTTTTACTACATATGCTAATGGTTTAAAAGCAGATTGTATGCTCTCTTTCTTCATCCAGGCAAATATAAGTATCATCTCAAAGATAAAATTTCAGTCAGAAATATGTTGACCATTGAGATGCAAGTATTTAAAACTGGCTCTCATTTAGGAAAATTGAATTGAATTGTCAACTGAATTCTTAGCCTATCCTATGACGGTTTAAATTTCATTAGGTATTGTTATAATTGAGCAGCAAGAGGTAACTCATTTAATGTAATTACTTTTAAAGCAAGAATACATGTTTACATATCACAGCAGTACCACAGCAACCATTTATGTGAATTTAATGAACTGTAACATTTTAACACTTGGGTATCTTTATTCAGTTTAGCTGCTGGTTCAGTGGGTGTTTGTCTTTCATTTATCACCAAAACATTTCTCAATAGTTTCAGGCATCAAGAATCCAGTGTGTTCACTCCCAGAGCAACCAGTGAATGGATATTTGCTGCTTGTACATGGTCAAAAGGAGGAGCTTGTATCTGTAAACTACCGGTGCCATTCAACTTTCACACTGATCGGCTCCCAGCAGAGGAACTGTCTGCCTAATGGCACATGGAGTGGCACTGTTCCCAAATGTGTAAAAGGTACTTTTTCACCAGGTCTTCATGTCTGTTCTTTGTACAATATAAAAGCAATATAATACTCTTATCTGAGGAGTTTTCTTGTTCAAATACATACTCATATAGGCCAAACAAGCAGAGTCCAGTGCCCTCCTCCACCCAAATTGCTCAATGGCTACCACAGATCTGTTCCTCACCAAGCTGGAGGTGCAAAGACAGTTGAGTTTTTCTGCAAAAAGTCCTACATGCTGAGTGGAAACCACCAGAGTACCTGCGTCTCTAATGGCTCCTGGAGTGGCAGGCCGCCCAAGTGTGTGAGAGGTAGCTGTTTTCAAAAACACGTTAAGATTGGGAACACACTGTTACACTAAAAGTAGCATATTTTCTACTGTATTACTATGTGAGGACAGCACAAAATGTTTCCAACATACAGTTAGTCTTACTATTTGTTTATCTGACTAATGTATGCAGAAATCTACACAACATTTGAATAAGTAACAATTTAGCAATTAGAGCACTGCGATGAGTGAGTCATTAGTTTGCATCAGGAATGGTTTCTTTATAATATGTGTGTTACTTTTACTTTCTGAACATAATTTTTCCTATTCACACTAAATAACTCACCCTCATGCTCACGATTATTCATGTTACTGATTCTTAATTTGCCTCTACAGCATGTCGAGAGCCCAGAGTGTCAGAACTTGTTCGACAAAGTGTTGTGAAGCCACATCTGATATCAAGGTAGCCACTAAGACACTATATGCATTTATTAATGTTTGCTATTTTGGTGGTGGATGTAGCTCACACTGGTAACAGTATTCCCACATTAAGTTATTCAAGTGCGGATAAGAAACTATTACGACCAACTTTTTTATTTCAACAGAGATAATCGAGACCAAAGACTCAAATTCTCATCCAGGTACAACATGCACGATTTGTTGTCAGCTGGTTTTATTCCACTTACATTCGACAAACAGTCAAAAAAAGATGACACTGCCTTTGTGGAGCTTCCTCGTGGCTTTCATCCAGTCTACACAAGCATTGAGTACAAGTGTGCCTCCCCGCTGTACCACCACACAGGAAGCTCCCGACGCACATGTCTGAAGACTGGCAGATGGAGTGGACGCCATGTTTCCTGCTCACCAGGTGAGAGCGGCTGCAGTGTAAACCCAGCCAACAGAAATTTATGTTTATTCTAACAAATGAAAATTTGAATTAAATATTGCAGATAAAAAGGCATGTCATGGTCTGGTTTTTACCAACACCTTATGGTGGCTAATGCTACCAAATGTTAGTAAGAAATATTATAAAAAATTTGCTTTGCAGTTTAGATGCCACTAAATCATACACACTGGACCAGATTATTTTGTCAAATTCATGACTTTTTTTTTTTACACTCTCAATCTTTACATCTGCTTGGTAAATATGAAGCTAGAGCCAGCAGCTGACTAGCTTAGCTTAGCATAAAGACTGAAAACAGGGGTAAACCGCTAGCCTTACTCTGAGTCTGCTATTGTGCATGTTGGCTCCTTTTTAGAGCCAGTTTGTTATGAAATTATATTTTTGACACGCTGTTTGTCTCTCTCTCCCTGACTGTTATCTTCCCACAGTGTGTGGCAAATTCGACACTTTCAGTCTACACAACCTCACAGACACTCAGTGGCCGTGGCATGCAGCCATCTATATCCGCTCGCCTCCTGATCATACTGCCAGCACCCAAAGGCCCCGTGGATTAACCACATCTATCCAGCAGGGGGCCTCAGAGGAGTCCACATTCTGGTACCTGGCCTGCAGCGGGGCTCTGCTCACCCAGCGTAGTGTCCTGGTGCCAGCTCAGTGTGTGGTAGACAAGGACATGCAGCAGACCCTTCACCCAGCACAAGTGAAGGTTGTCATAGGCATGCGGTACCAGACATCCAAGGATCGGCCGAAAAGCCTGCACCACCTCAGGGTACAACACAGTCTATTAGTCAGAGTCCATCAGGTTTTTTATATTTTCTTAATATTTTTGCTTTTGTTAGATGAGTTTGTAGAAAACGTAAGTCTTCCACACAAAATATCATGTAAAGTCACATTATTTATCATCAAGCATGAATCTATATATTTGATATCTAGACATATTGTTAACATTAATTTGCATTAAGGTACCAAGGTTAAAAAAGTTTAAAGGCTTTAACTTTTCTTAGATTTTGAGGTTTCGATTTTTTTATTGTCAATAGAATTTAAATAACTATGTATTTTTTAACTGAAATATTAATTTAAATGGTGGTAAAACATTGGTTGTTGGGTTGCAATAGCATTTAATTTTCATTGTAGGATGGCCGTCTCAGAAAGGTGTATTACACACATATTATTATCATCAGTTACAATAACCCTTAAAGGAACAATAATAGAAGATAAGAAAATTTACACAGTATGATAACCATGTCAGTGTCATTTTTCATACCATGATATCAGTTTACCCTAATAACCCTAATTGGTTGTATAGATACAAAGCTTTTTAACCTTTTTTTTATCCTATTTTTATCCTAGAAGCTTACATTTATTTTCACCTGAAAACTACCAAAACCATGCTTATTATTATATTAATGGTTTTAAATCTTTTCATTTTCAGGTCAGACAGCGCACAAAAGTTTTCCATGACTGAAAAATATACCAAACAGCAGATGCATGATAAAGTATTAAGCAAGGAATCTTCATTAAATAGATATAATCCTCTGGATAGGTTCTTGTTTGTAAATGGTACAGGAAGAAATCCTTTGGCATTTTGATGTGCATTTTAAGCTTTACAACTATATTTGACTTGGATTTGAAATATTTGCACATCTTGGTGCATATTATCTGATCTTGAAAGATATTCCAAAAACAACAAAACGTGGCACATTATTTGCGGAATAAGGCTGTCTCAGGTATTCTGACTTCAAGTAATTTAATTTCACTCTTTCTCTCTTTCTGCCTCAGCAGGTTTCAGACATTTTAGTCCATCCAAACTTTTACTCTGCACCAGACTCTGATGTGGCTGTACTCAAGCTAAAAGACAAGGCCAAGATTAGTGAGAGTGTGTTGCCAGTGTGTCTACCCAAAATGCAAGGAGGAGAGGTGACAGCGCAGGAGGCTTACACTGCGAGGTGGATTTTACCAAACGATTACAGCCACCTGAGCCTCTACACTCCCTTAAGCCAGACGAAACTTGTTGAGTTGGACGATGTTTCGCAATGCGAAAGAGAATTTGCTCAAGGAGGAGCACATACCACACTGATTGGTGACAATACACTGTGTGTCATTAGGAAGCCGTCCAGTCTTCAAAGCCCTTGTCCCAGCATTGTTCCAGGCATCACAACCATGGCAGCTGTGATTTCATCCACAAGTGGTATCTTGTCAGGACACGAAGGGACTCAGGGAATCTCCAGCACACACTGGGAGCTTCTTGGTTTAGAGAGTTTCAGCTATAAAGAAAATAATTGCCACCAACATACTTACACAGTTCAGATACGAATAGCCAACTTTCGAGATTGGATAGAGAAAAACATGTAGATTTTTTTTCTCAAAATGCCTCAATTTAACTCTCTTAAATGGTCATTTATTTCCAGTTTTGTAAATCTCACAGTTGGTGGAAATGGTGGAGATGAAGGAGACAGAGAGAACACAACATTTGCTGTGATCATTTTGTGTCAATATCATATAAGATGAGATATGTTGGCACCCTACCTGTATCTTTTATGTGTGCATGTTATTGTTCTGTATTGGGGCTACCCCCACTTCAAACAACTGGATGTCACCATGTGTTTGTGAGAATTAAATTTGGAAAATAAAAATGGTTCTTCTCCAGATGCCATTTTGAGTCTTTGATGCTCAGTAGTGTCAAGCTTTTTTACATTTACTGACATCTGTAGGCACTGTGTGCTTCTAGATGTCTCCAGACTCACGCTTAAAACCAAAAATGAGTTTACCAGCATCAGCAGGTCAGATTTGTTTTCATTTTATCATTTATTTTCTGCTGTATTGTTTGTGCTTTATTCCTGTGTTTCATTCCATGTAACAGCACTTTGTAACTTTTGTTTGAAAATTACGCTACTATTGCTATTATGAACTAACTAATAATATAATAAGAAACTTAAATACATTCAGAAGCCAAATCTAAAAGGTGCTTTAGATGTCCTGTCTCCAGCTCCAAGTCTCTGACCTCTGACTATCTCTGACTGGAGATAAACATTTTCTAAGAAGGATAAGTCATTAGCAGCAACGTAAGCCACGTGTGCAAATGTACATAAGTTTATATTCTGCAAAGTTTATATTAGGACATTTGTTATTCAGCTTGCATGCACAGTTTCCAATTCCAAATGTGCATATTTTATTTGTCTATTAAGAAGCACCAACAGTAAAACAGCCTATCATTTATAATGCAATGAGACATTAATTTCCCTGACTGCATGCTTTTCCAAGCAATGCCTGTGGGCACGTGCATGGCTGTACACCGCGTACGGACTGCATGTTCATCTGTTACAGTAAATATGCACAGTACCTGTGTGTCTGTGGTGTGTTTGCATGTGAGGTTATGCATTGAGTTTCTCTGCAGTCTCTCCAACATGTGCTGTCATTGAGAAACACGCTGAGAGGATTTGCTAAACTTAGCTCTTACTCCTGAGACGCAGACTCTCTGCGGCTTTGTGCAGGACACCTTTTAAGCCCGGCCAATTAAACAATGAGTAGCTCAGTAGTCTGTCTTTGCAGCTTGCAAACTCCATGGCAAGAATAAAAAGAAACTGATGATTGTATTTCTACTATGAAGAAAATGGCATCAGTGAATCTACTGCACATTCACAAATCATACACAGAACCACATGAGTAAACACATGAAAATTTTAGAAATGTAAATACAAATGCTTTCACAACCTTTTAGAATTGTTGCATTTAAGTTGACATTATGGGCTTGGGTCTTAATGTTTTGAACTAACGGAACCATCTTGCTGTATGATGTCATGATGCTAAAAATGGGGTGAAAATCTATTACTCTTTAACTGAGAGAACACCCCACCCACACCTTAGAGGAGGTACTGACCTCTCATCTCAAATCCCCATCCCTCTGTCTCTGCATCAGTCTGCACACTGTGTATGTGAAAGGTGTTTGTTTAGGTTTCAAGGGGGATGTCCGAGGATTTACAAACCTAGGAGGAGGAGAGGAGAAGGAACCTGCTGCAAAACCTGTATGATTTCTCTCTAAGAACTCTGTAAATATAAATGCTGCTTTAACTACGCAATCTTGAAGTAAATTTGCATTTACTCCAATCAAGAAAGCCCTAAAGATTTAAAGAATGCAAGACTTCCACAGGTGAGAACTTTTCATTTTAAGGATGCTAGAGGCGGATAATTACGTTATCCTTTCATTTTTAGAACATCTGATGTATGTAAATGGGAAACAGTAATTTAAAATGTATCAGTCTGCCTGATGATCAAATGATTTGTCTCAAGGTGACCCTAGCTTCTTCTCTTTAGTGTAATTCAGCATATTGATGCTGCATGACACACTTCGTACTGAAGGTGGTTGCTAGGTTAGACATATAATATGTAGCTTACAATTACAATGTCATTAGTGATGTGACCCAATTCCAAGCATACCTGCATGTAATGCTTGTTGCTGTGCTTGTTTGTATTCCCACTCCTACTCCTGAGTGAATGGCTTGTTGTAGGGCAACTTAGGATACTGGCAAAATGCCTACTAGTGAAAACCATCAGTGAACAAAGTCTTCAAATAAGCTGGGTTGGTCCTTATCCAGTTAAAATGCAAGAAACACATACACTGTTAGTGAATTAAAAAATGTATGACTTTACGTCTCAGGACAGGAACAAGTCATCCCATGCATTTTATGGAAGTGACAGTTTCTTAAAGCAATGCAAAACAACTGGCCTTGGGCCACATGTGCATCATTAGAGATACGGTGTTCTGTGAGATTCACTCCCACCACACTCCACAGCTCAAGACAAGACTGCAAAAGGATGAAGTTCAAAAGAATAGCCTGAAGGGTTACACTGTAAATTCTGAGTAAAATTAACTAGATGGGTTGCACATCAGACAGTTTCTTCTTTTTTATGCATCTTGTTAAGGAACGTGACTACAGACATAATCACATCATCCTCTGACGTGGTATAAATAGAACAATGTCTTTTGCAAATTTCAATGTACACTCTTACAGAAGGGTTTAATTGTATATCTCTTGAGAACATATTGGACATCTGTAGCATCAAAAATGATTTTTCCTGTCATACTCTTTTCAATGCACTTTTTTGCTATTACATTTTCATTAAGTAGAATATGCATATTTCACAAAATCAGAACGCAGTCCTGTAAAATATTTTTGAAGAAAAAAGGGCCCCTCATAATCACTTGTGCATCAAAGAAACTTTAAAGCAGGCCCCGAGGGCTAGCTGGAGGCCTTGAGGAGATATATTCATGTTCCGTCTCTGAAATGACATATCCCTGTTAGGCATGATGTCCACACATCAAGAACCATTTTAACCAATATAGGAACTTGTTTGAGTCTTTCCTATACAGTATTTGTACTGATCTTTACATCGAAAAAATACATTAACTTCTCAGGATTGCAGAGGAAGGTGGAGATGCAGTTACTTCCAGCTATGTTAGATGTCAAGAACAGTTTTATGATTACTGTGTTTTTTTTCTTTTCTGTGCCTTGAAATGAGAGCAATGAATGGTTCAAAGTTTATATTACACATTTGGCTTGTGTTCCTATTCTGCAATAAACTGCATGTTTTCATAAATATAATGATGAATTGTTCACTTGAATAATCTAATTGAACAGTGCACATTTCACACATCTCAGAGGTCCTGTCCTCAGTGTGAAGTTGCCAGCTTTTCAGACTTTACAAACTCAAAAAATTGGATGTTTAGTTAACAAGATATAACATGTAAACAAGATCTTGGAGCTGTTAAAGATGTGTTGTTCTTTTTGGGTCAATGGTTGCTGGTTGCCCCTGCTTCCAGCTAAGTTGGGTTAAACACTTTCAGAAACAAGCTCTCCAATGCACAGAGATGGAAATTGATATCAATCTTCTCACCTAACTCCCATTAAGACAGCAAAGAAGCATATTAACCTAGCTGCATAATTTAGCTTTAATTTGTCTCTGTGTGAGAAAGGACAAGAAGACTTTGTATGAGATGAGTCTGAGTTGAAATAGCATTTCCTTCTCAACTTCATTCTCAAGTGGAGGGTATGATGGCAGAGCAAGTCAAGAGGTGCTTATCCGATCTGAAATTTTTTAATTGTACATCTCCTGCTTAAGTAAGAGCAGTTAACTCTCATAATCAGGAGCTGGTGCTGAGCTCTGGCTCAGATCCAACTGAAATCCCGCTCTTACAAGACAAGAAGACGTAATTAAAATCATCATTGAAACAGGATCATCAGCCGTGCATCATGCCTCTATGATGCAAAACTGGGTGCTATTAGCTAGTGACAACACTCACTGTATATACCCTCATATGTGCATCTACAGTGTTGTACATTTTATATTTGACTGATAACCCAGTTGTTATTCATGTTCTACATTTCCATTTAAAGTCTGATTTAAAAGTCTGAGCCGACAACCAAAAACATTTTTGGATATTTGTCTTTACTAACAGCTAATACACATTTCAAACAAGATTGATTTCTCAAATATAAGCTAAGTGTTTGTTGGTATTAAGTGAAAATGCTCTATTTCCTGCAGTTGAATCTTGTTTATTTTTCCAGCTATCTTTCATATATCCCTGAGAGTGTTTGTGAGTGATTGATTGATGGTTAATTGACTGATTACTGCGGCATGGGTTTCAGTGAGGTTGAGGTCTGCTGAGTGTAGAAGGAAAACCATGTTGCTTTTCCTTGGACTTCAGATAAGTTAGACACAGACTCACTGTATGTTCAAGATTACTGTCCTGCTAGAACTCCTCGTTCACACAACTCTGAGCCTTTAATGAAACTGTAGTGGATTACAATTTGGTTCAGGCAAAACCTCATCGGTTTATGCACTGTTGCATTTCCATCTCATGTGGTTCCCCACTCACGTACATTCTCTAAAAAGTTTAAAGTTTGGCTGATTATAGTTTGTTTGCTAAATATGAGATCAGATGATGAAGATAGATTTTTAGACATCTTGTGGTTCATGGTCAAGGGAGAGGTCTGCTGTTCAGTATTCACTGTATCTTAAAGGACCAGTGTGTATGATTTATGGTCATTTATTAACAGAAATTGAACATAATATTTATAATTACTTCATAAAACTTGGAGTCCCTCGTATCTACCGAAGGAGCAGGTTCTCTTCCATAGAGTCTGTCATATTGAACCGCAATATTTCTGCAGTACGGACAAACCAAATAGCAACTTCATAATTGTCTGAAATGTGAGCAAAGTTTTTCAGATAATATTTATCTATTTTTTCAAAACATGCTTTTTTCCTCTACAGCAGATGGAGATTTTCTAAAGCTGTAGTGAAGCATATAATATTTAACTGATCTGAAAGCATGAAATCCCTAAAAGCTTTGATGGTTTGGCACATAGAACCATCAGAAAAGCCCATTAATCCTCATTGTTTCTGACCCATTGAATTATCACTATTTTACCGACTGACTGAGTCCCGGGTTGTGGTATCATTAGACTAAATCTCTGTGCTGTTAATGGACTTTCCACATCCACAGCAACCGCGAGTCTGTTATGTAACAGGGGTTAGAGCATGCTGGGAATTGTATTGTTTTTAACTGGTATTTACAGTATGTTGAAGGTGTAAACACCTGTGAGGTACAATGGAAAACCGTTAAGATACATTGTACTTGATACAAG